CCAACTCGATAGGGACTCGACCTCCTAACCTCGATTAGAATGGTTTTTTCTCGAAAAATACCACCGACGGGTTGGGGATGGTATTTGAAAATGAATCCCTGACAATTTTCGAGCGAGAGAAGGTGATAGGTTCCCCGGCCCCGGCCTCTCCCTATCCCAGTTTTCGTTTTAAACTGAAATTACTATTACACCCCTCTCTCTCTCTCCATATATATATATATATATATGTGTGTGTGCGCGCGCGCGCGTGTATGTTTCTCTAGGAATTTTAGAGATACCTATTGAATTTAGAAGTTAACTAAGCTAATAATGTTGGTTGTGCATGTTACTTTGCAAAATTCACGATTGATGTTTTTTTTTAAAGCAAAAAACAAGTGTTGATTGGATTTATTTTTTATTTTTATTTTATGTGGTGTGTGTGTTAGTTTGTATCTTGTTTGTTATGTTGTCATTTAGATGTTTATGTTTAGACATTGTTAGATTATACTTTTATATATATTATTTTTATTTGCTTAAAAAATATAAAATAAAATGGGATATGTAAAATTCAAAAAAAAAAATAGGTGGAGATTTTTCGGGGTCGGGGAAACCCGATCCCCGTTAGGGGACGGGGGTGGGGGGTAATGGACTTCCCGCCGAGGATCGGGAGTGGGGACAGAGAATTTTATACCTTCGGGGATCGGGGATCGGGAGTGTAATCCCCTGCCCCAAAAAATAAAAAACATAATATAATTTAAATAAATTAATAAATTGACTTTTCCCTCCTATCTTTTCAAGAAAGAAAGGGACATTTATTTGAAGATCAGGCCTCTCCATTCCTCACTCCACTGGCTCAAATGGCTAAAACGACGTCGTTTTGAGTACAAAACAACATAAAAATGGCCAAAACGACGTCGTTTTGGCCATTTGAGCCACTTTTGAGTCACAAAATTTGAGTTACGAGACATTTTCTATATATAAATGGGGTGGTGTCGCGGGGTGGCATTGAATTTTCAGTCAGATTTGGTAATAATAAAATGGAAAATGAGTGAATTTTTTTTTTTTTTTTTGGGGGATTCAATAATTTTTAAATTGATTTATATTATTTATGATGTGTGAGACTTAGTGGGTGTTTGGGAAGTGGATTTTTTTGTAAGTTTTTTTTAGTTGTAGGATATTATTGGAGAAATTTTTATTTGTGTTTGGAAAGATAATTGAGTTTTTTTGTGGTTGGATGTTATATTTGTGAGGGAAAAAATGAAATGATTATAGAGTTTGATGTGATATTTTGTTTGGATTTTTTTTTTTTTTCGATTTTGTAACCAATTTGTGTTTTAATGAAAAAAAAACAAAAAAAAAACAAAAAACAAACTTTCCAAACAGCACTTTATTTATGTACCTATGGAGTTCACATCATAAATAAGATGAATCATTTTAAAAATTATAAGATCCTTAAAAAGGAGTCTCTATCGTTGTTATAATAAAATATCAAATGCAAAATCGGTGACATGGGACCTCTCTCACGCTCGTGACACTTCTTACTCCATAAAATCACTGTCGAATCAATAATGTTGTAAATTTATAAAATTATTTTATAAATCATAATTATTTTAAAAGTACGACTCACATATTATTAAATTGAAATATATTTTATGATTCATAGCATATTTCTATTCCAATTTCATATAGAGATTGAAGGAGGTGAAAAATGTTGGAAATGGTGGAAAAAATTCTGAGTAAAATCAGAATTTTTTTTCAAGTTTGGTCTATTTTTTAGGTGAGCCCCGAGTGTCGATTTACTCGGGTCAAAGTGGTAACGCGTTTTATGCTGCGTTGTGATTCACGTGGTATATTTGGTTGCTCAAAACCATTACCGAGTGAATGGGAAATTGAAGCCAAAGTGTGCACCATGAAAATAGAGTTTTGGTGGAAATTCCTTAAAGGTTTGAATAAGGCTTGTCCCACATTGATTTGGTGGGAGGTTTTGAAAGGGTTTATAAGGCTTAGGGTGAGATACTTGGGGTGTGCCCCAAGGGGTACCCAAGTGTTTTAGAGGGAGAGGTTATGGGCAAAATGGGCTAGACCCATTGGACCCAAAAATCACCACACGCGCGCGCCGCCGCCGTTGTCCGTCCAATCAGTCGGGCGAGCTGGGCTTGGGCGCGAGTGCATGGTGTGAGGTTGGGGTGGGCT